GTGCCTCGGTGCCCATCAGGCTCCCGGCTCCTGAGCCACATCCCCCCACCCAGCTGCCCTATGGCACTAGCGCTCATAACTCCCGCCGTGTGGTGTGGGGAAGCTGGCCACTGCCCTGCCTGGACAGCAAGATGCTGGGACACTCCCAGCCTGACATTCCCGATCCCCTCAGTGCTCCTGCGCCCGCCCGGGGTGCTGGGTGGGGGGAGGGGTGTCCCCCACCAAAGGGAGCCAGCCCTCGTGTCTCCTCCACCCCGCCTTGGGCAGATGCACAAGCAGCCCCGGGCTGTGGGGCGGTGCCCTCAGCGCCTCCTGGAGCAGCGTGCCCTGTGCTTTGCCCGCAGGCGGATGCATGCACATGAAGTGCCCGCAGCCCCAGTGCCAGCTCGAGTGGTGCTGGAACTGCAGCTGCGAGTGGAGCCGCGCCTGCATGGGCGCCCACTGGTTCGACGTGTAGCTGCCACGGGCCGCTGTCCGCGCCGGAGCCCCGTGTCCAGTGGCGTCTGCCCCTCTCCCTTTCTCCACGCACACACACACACACGCACACACACACACATGCACCACACGCACATTCGCACGCACACACCTGTGCACACATAGGCACACACATGTACACAGTTCTTTCCAAAAGGACAGCAGCAGGTCTGGGCAGCTCCCAGCCTCGCGTTGATTGTGCCGGGAAAACCAGCACCACGAGGTCGAGGTCTGAGCCACGCACAGCAGCACGCAGGAGGCCTGACATCTCGGGAGCTCGAGGCTGCTGTGTAGGGACAGCACAGTCTCAGGTTTAACTCCCCGCGCTCCACCCCCAGCCGGCGCTGGGAGGAGCGATGGTGGGAGGTGCCGAGTGTCTGTCTCGGTTCTAGACTGGTGTCCACAGCCCTCAGGCCTGGACTCGCCACTCCACGCGAGGCTCCGTCTTCCCACGGAAGCGCAGCAGCAGCCGCACATGGTCCCCGGGTTCCCTTTCCGCGGGATGAGTCTCCCGCTGCACGAAGCAGGTGCCGCCCAGGAGAGGAGCCACGGGGGCCGACTCCACGGAGGAGTGTAGATCACAGGCAGAACCCCACACGCGCTGTGCGTGCCGCTTCATTAGGAGACATTTTGGAAACTGTTTTTCTGAAAATGTTACCAAACCTATCATTTGATTATGGACATTTATGCTGCAGCGTGGAGGACAAGCCAGTCCCGCCGGCTGCGCCGTGAACAGAATGGCTGAGTGCCCTGGAGGGGGCGGGTCAGCGTGGTTCCCAGCGACCCAGTGTCACGGGCCATTGAAACAGCCTCTCTCCCGGGCCTGTTGCCAGGCGGTCCCGCGCGGCCTGCCCCGCCTTCGGCCCCCCTGCTGCGCTGGTCGGATTGGGGGGGCTGGTGACTTTCCATCGATGGTCACACATCAACGAGGCGTGTGCCCGCGGGCAGAGCCCAGCGCCTGCACCGGGAGGCGGGAGGAAGTGCCTGCCTCTGCTCTCGGCTCCTCTCCTCAGGCGATGGTGACCACTCGGGCGGAACTGCCCACTGCACCTGGGCCCCTTTTCACGTGGGACCCTGGAAGCTGTCAGATCAGCAGCAGGACTTCTCCTTTGCTGAGAGGGAAGGGGAGGGGCCTCGGAAATGCCCCAAGGCCGCCTGCCCTCTTTCCCGAACCCCCACTCAGGGATAGTCCTTCCCGCTCCCCCCCCTTCTCTCTGTCAGCGTGGCCCCCAGGCCGCCGGGCTCGATGGGAAGCCCGTGGGTCGTGCAGGGATAATGGGGCCGAGGTCTGGCCGTGGGAGAGGAAGGTCCGAGGCTGAGCCACACACGCCAAGGCCGGCGTTGCTGCTCAGTCTGCAACGCTCAGGCCGGGTGTCCGTCCGACAATCCCAGCAGCAGCTGCCGGCACCGGCCCCCCCCCCGCCCC